TTTCGTTCTCGTTACGCGCAGACCGAGGCGCACGAATACCAGAGAGGACAAAGGTGAGCTTTGCGTTCTCGCGTGGTACCAAGACAGTGAAACGCGATCCAGACTTGACAAAGTCTACAATTGCGGGTACCTTGCGTTGCCGAGAGAGTACGGTGAGTTGGCGCTTGGCCTTTTCGAGCGACTCCGAGTAGTCAACGTACTGCTTGACAGACGGCGCCTTGTCTGACCACAGACCCTTCTTCTCCTCTTGTGCGGCTTGCTCGGCCAGTAGGAGATCATCGTAAATGGGGCTCCTATCCGTGTCGTCCTGTCGGTGGCGGATGACCGAAGCCATACCGTTCTCGACAAGCATCAGACCAACGTTCTTGCCCTGGATGGTGACGGTACACATCTCTCGCTCATCATAGCCGTCGCTGGCTGGCCGCTTTCCATCAACGTGGAACTTGACATGCTTGCCAATAAGCTTCTTGCGCAGGAACTCCTTTGCCTCGGCTACCCATGGCGATTGCTTGGGATCAGTAGGCTTTGGTTGACGGACGCTGCTGAGGTTGATGCGCTTCTCTGCTCCGGCCTTGTTCCGCAGGAAAAGGGTGTCTGCGCTCTGGATTCGGCTGACGGTGGCTTCTTGCTCGCCTGCCCGGGTGACCTTGGGCGCAGCGTGTTCCTTGTACACGCCCAGTCGACCTTCCTTTGCCTGCTTCTCAGCTCCCCTCAGTATACCCATTTTCTGGCCCAAAAGGGTAGTGTGGTGGTCGGTGCACTTTGCAAGACCATTCTTGAGGAGGAAAGGTGTGATGCTGCCTTGGGTCGGGTGCTTGACATCTGCAACGAGCTGGCCATTGGGTGTAGTACCGAGTACCTGAACGAGCACACCGCGCTGGAGCATCCTTGCCTCAACAAATTGTTGTGCCTCGTCACCAAATGGCTCAGCTGGTTGTACCTTTCCATCAGAGGGGTTCGTCCGTTGTGTTGCTGGTGCGCGGATACCAGCGAGGAGGACCATGGTTTGCACATGCTCGGTGGGCGAAAGAAGGAGGCGCACAATGAGACGGTCACCAGACAGGACCTTTTCAACAATGGAGTCAATGTCCTTGCCCTTGTTCTGCTCAACAAACTTTTGGGGATCGCTCAGCTCTAAAGCCACGTTGATCCTGCCACCCGTCTCAGCCCAGATTCCCTTTGAATCTGCCCTGGCGCGTGCCTCGTCGACTTGGAGTCTCTCAATCAGATTGGCCGCTTCGTCTGAGTCTTCTTTGCGGCCAGCGTCGTCTCGCAGCTTCAACCAGCCTGCTGCGACGGCTTGTTGCGGTAGTATCTCCTTGTTCGGTGTGACAATGAGGCCATATTCGCGGTTTGCGCCTGTGGGGATTTTGTACAGGACTTGGAAGCGGACGACCTTGCCCACCAGCAGGCGGCGGAGATAGTCGCGTGACTCGAAGGCGAAGGGCTCGTCTCCCTCTCGTCTCAATCGCGGCGCTGTTACAAAGGCTAGGCTGAGTATGCGCTCTGCTTTTGGATCCTTGATGTTGTGGAGGACGACGGTATCGCCGGAAAGTACGCTCTTGACCTTTGCCTCGAAAAGGTTGCTCATGGTGGATGTCGGGTAGCTGCACGGTCGAGGTCGAATGTTAGCTACTGTGTCCAGAGAGCTGCAGATGGTCGGTGGGGCACCTGTTCACTTGCACTTACCGGAAAGAGATGCCAAAATCAATTATGTGTACCACTAAGTGTTAGGGAAGGAGGAGCAATTGATGTGTGGGCCAAATGCCAATTGCTTTGTTCGAGTGTTGAGATGCTACGTGTTGTGATGGCGGGCAAATCTCGCCGTTGCTTCTCAGGGACCGTTCTTGTGGGGTCGGAGACCCTAGTAGGCGAAGCTAAGAATGTCACTGTCGGCAAGGCCCAGCCCATACACGTCGCATTGGACGGAACTGAGAACGCGTACAAGCGATGTGGAGCTGTCCAATTTAGACCTGGCTGTATTTTTTACTGTTTGTGATGTCATTTGCATGCAGAGAGTTTTTGATGCTAAATTTCCACCACGATGGAATGCAGCATCGGTCTCGACTACGTAGCTACAACATACATACGTATACTAGTACATACGCTAATTGCTCAATTAAGCCATTAAATTTATAAAGTATTTTGGTCATATCCACGAGCAAGCGCAGTGTGTAATACATGTGTACTTACAATGCGTCAATGTAAGAGTTATCTGCTAGTCACAAGTCTGTCAAGATGCATGGCAAAGCAACGACAGCTACCGTCATACCAAGATTTCTAGCTCAATAGCTTGTTTATGTAATGTTTATGAGGTATGAGTATACTTGATAGTCAAAGTACTAGCTTTGATAAGTACTAAGAAAATTCATAGTAAATAAAAGTTAAGATGAGGAGTAGCGATACAAAACACGCCCTTTGGAGTCCTATTATGTACTAGTACATCCTGAGCTTATACAGAATCACCAGGTTCAGAACCACCCGCTTTGTGAGGAGTTTCATAGATAGATACAAAACACAATGAATTTGGAGTGAATTTAAACGAAACCTTAAGTAGTCCCAAGGTTTGGACGGGACTACATATGCTTACTCTTCTACACGTGACCATGGATCATTTGGTCCGAGATGTGGTCTCCGAGGGCCGACCTGCCTAGGCCTTAGTTCAAGGTATGGTGACATACTTCCCGTGCTGTCAGCCTCCTAAAAACCATGTGAAATATTTAAACTTGACACTTTGTGTCTTGCTGAGATTACACCGTAATCATTCCAGCTAGCCATTCAAACATCCTTTCTATTAGATGATCAAGATCGCGCTCGCGGGTGGCATATCTGGCATTGGCCTGGCCATCTATAACGTTCTAGAAGGTGGCTTTGATATGGATATGACAAAATTCAGAAACGACTAGTTTCTTAAGATCAAGCTGCTCAAATTTTAGGATGTTATCGATGCGTGGACAGGAAAATGATGTATGCATGTATATAGGATTTGCTTGTTGCAAGAGTGTTATGACAGATGGATGCCCGGACTTACGGACTTAAGCCTTGTAAACATCTCAGCTCTGATAGGCCCCCACCCCGCAGCCACCAATACAGGGCGTACTATCCAAACGGGCGTAACGGCAATATACGATGGGTGTATTAGCAATGGTAGAAGGTAAGGCCTCCTGTTGCAGGACGCTGGGTAATATAAAACAGAGATTTATATGAATGTGTAGTCGAAAACATATATCCAGTATTGATTTGGTGTGTTTGTACTCGAGTACGTCCATCAGTCCACCTCGCACATTCAACAATGCCAGACCTCGAAACCATCCGCTCGAGCATTGCGCAGCTACCCGATGGACCGCCGCTTGTCGTGGCCCTGATTGGAGGTACAAGTGGTATTGGATCGTATGTAGCACAAACGTTTGCCTCGACATTTGCGAGGCATGGATCTAAACTTAGGGTTTACCTTGTGGGACGCAATGCTGATCGAGCAGAGACATTGATGCAATTTGGTCGTGAGACTAGCGCGGGCTCGGAGTGGCGGTTTATTAGGGCAAAGAATTTGGCTTTGATGAGTGAGGTGGATGCTGTGAGTGAGGAGATTAAGCGGCAAGAGGAGGCAGGTGCGTTTACCGGCGGACCACCGAGATTGGATGCATTGTACATGAGTTCAGCGCTGTCGCCATTAGCGCCATCACCTCGTAGGTTTTTGTTTGTTTGTTTTTTTGTCCCGCCAGAGTTTCACGTACTGATTGGAGCAATTGCAGTCACGGAAGAAGGAATTGACTCACAAATGTCGTTGCTCTACTACTCCCGCATCCGGTTCATACAGAATCTCAGTGGGCTGCTTAGAGCAAGTCCGACGACGGCGCACGTCATTTCCATTTTTGCAGGATCAGTCGAGGACCAGATCAAGGCAGGTGAGGTGCCGATTGGTGCGCCAGAGGCAGCAAGCTACAGTGTCACCGACGTACGCAGACGGACGTGCTTCATGAAGACATTTATTTTTGAATCACTGGCCGAGCAACATGAGGGAAAAATCAGCTTTGTACACATTTACCCTGGACTAGTAGACGGCCCCACTTTTTTGAGCGAGGAAAACCCGCTATGGTTCCGTATCTTGTGGAGGGTGGTGAAGCCATTGGCAAGTTGGTATATGACGAGCCCTGAGGTGTGTGGGCAGGTCATGGTGTCTCTGTGCACGCAGCGGTATCCTGCGAAGGGTTCATTGACGGGGGACAAGGTTGCTTTGAGTAGCCAGAGGGAGATGGGAGGGGGCGCTTATGCAGTCGGCCAGCGAGGAGACGAGAGGAAGGAAGTGAGCTGGGCCAAGGCGCGGCGAGATGACACTGCAAAGAAGGTTTGGGAGCACACCATGGGGGTGTTGCAAGGGGCGAGGGAGAACACTGGTGGTGGGTAGTTGGTGTGAGCAGATAAATTAACAAGAGAGAAATGCATATGTATGGGCGGTTGAGCAGACTGTTGTCACGGGAATAGATGCAGCAGAGGATACGCGTCGTATGTGCTGGGCATGGCAACACTCGAAATGGAAGGCGCGGCGGTTGTTGGCGTAGCAGCAGTGCCAACAGTGCCAACAGCGCCAACAGCAGGGCCAACATGGAGTTGGGGTCTTGTTGTGAGTGCCGTGCCTAGAGTGTTGGGGTAGATTGATTTTTTTTTTTTTGCAGCGGAGGTGTCAGACTCGTGTCAGCAGCTCGGATTTGCGTTGAGCGGTAGACTAGAGGTCGTTCATAATTAGCAGCAAGCTAGAAGCGATGCCAAGGCCGGGGCAGGACCGGTTCGTGAAGAGATGATGCGACTGTGCAGCACGGACTGGAGTGGTTGGGGGTGGTTGCAATGCGGGCGGAGGACCAAGACCTAGACGGCTGGGGCGCGGAAGGCAGCGGAAGGGAGCAAGTGGTGGTGGTGGAAGCAGAAGCAACAGGTGGGCACGAGGCGATGCGAGTGTAAGTACATAAAAGGCATCATTTCAAGGCTAAGAGGCGGCAGAAGAAATGGTCGCTGACGCGGCTCTGGCGTCGGGCATGCAAGATGAGATAAGCTTCCCTCGCGGCGGGGTACGGACGAGAGAGTGAGCCTTGCGCCGATTGCAGCAGCAGTCTGGTGCAATGGCGCCATGTGTGCAATGTGCCTGCGTTTCACAATGGCAAACTGGCCATGAGACAGTGGTTTGAAGGATGATGGGCAAGTAAGTAGTAGTAGTAGCATATGTAGGAGTGGAACAATTGCAGGCAGCAGCAGCAGCAGCAGCAGTAGCAGTATTGACAACAATAGCAACACGACCAGGGCATCGACGATTGCGCGACCAGGCTATATGTATTGGATCGTGTGGGGCTGGCTAGTGTCGAGGATGCAGATGCATGGCGGGCTACTCTACTGGAAGCGGAAGCGGCATCGGGCTGTGCATTGGCAGGTACGAAGAGGGAGGGGAGGGGAGGTGAGAGATACGCAAGCAGCAGAGCGTGGATGCTGCGAGCGGCAGTGTTGGGTATTGGATTGAAGGGCTTGGGAGAGTGGAGTTATAATGATTGTCCCGAAAAGAAGGAGGGTGGAGGGAGACAGCCAACCACCAGCCTCCTCCAAGGCGATAGTGAGATAGCGGAGATTGGATAGGCGGCCCACTGAGCCCACCCTGCCCGCCACCCTGGGCTGCTGCTTGTTTTCAAGCAACGGGCGTCGCACAGCCAGGCACCTAATAACCATCCATACTTGATATACATGTCAACATCCACCTTACCGCCACAACAAAGCATGGGCATGGGGCGCATCCATGTGGGTGGTGACTTGATTGACGTGGGCGCACAGCAGCAGCAGCATCATCATCATCATCATCATCACCACCATCACCACCACCCGTCGATGGCTGCAGCTAATCATGCTAACAGCACTTGCCTACTTACTCGCGCACGCCCGTGAATGCATCGTGTACGTACTTATCTAGTACACCTGTGCAGTGTGCTATACTTGTGCGAATGCGGCGGCGCAAAACCTGTTGGGGAGTTGGAGGATGGCTGGGTTGGCCGACGTCACCAGTGGGTTCACGGCCGTTGGTGCACTGCGTTTCCTGGGTGAAATGCTGCGACGGGCCAGCCCCGGCGAGTGTGGGTGCGTGGGTGCGTGGGTGCACAGCACCTGCACCAAACCAGCGCCCCGTCAGCCTCCGTGGTACCAGCCCGTCTTACCCGGCCTGCCAGACACCCTGCCACACGCCCGGCCTGCATCCTGCCTGCATCCTGTCCTGGTCCTGTCCTGTCCTATCTTGTCTTGTTCTGTCTATCCACCAAACTTCTCCTTCCCTTCCCTCCCACCCCAACGCCGCACCATTTCTTTTGGCCGCCTGTGCTCCCGCCCCAAAGCACACGCCTGCCTCTCGCCCTGCAAGAACAAACAAAGACACCCGCCCCAATCGCCCGCGCCCCCACCAATAGTCCACTGCGACCCATCCCCCGAGCGGTGCGCCGCCGCCTAAGACGTCTTCGCTTCTTGCAGCACCCTCTGTAGGAAAAAGTCACCCCCAAAATGGCCTACCACCAGCAACAAGCCTGGCCACTCGGACAAGCTCAATACACCGACGCCGCCTCCGCCGACGACAGCCCTCCCCCTCCACCCGTCCATCGCACGCCTGTAGGCCACAACCCCGACGCCCACTACCAGCACATGAATAGCCACCCACCCTACGCTGACCCCAACAACTACTCCGACTATTCGACGCCTGGTCACGCCCTCGCCGACAACACCATGGCTGCACACCAATCGCCAGCCTCGGCGCCGCCCACGCGAGGCATCGAGTCAGGGCGCCCATTGGGTGTCCCCAGCAACCTTTCGCCAGTTTCACCTGTTTCACCCTTCAATGACTATGACGCCTCCATGGTCCCTCGCCCAATGTACTCTTCGCGCTCAAACGGCTCCGCTGCGCCTCTCGCTCCTGGCATGTACTCGAGCGACAGCTCTCTGCTCAGCATGCCTCACTCATCCCACAGTGGCCACACCTACTCCGACACGCCCTACAACCGCTACTCGTCGTCGGCCCAGAACCTCGCCCCCCAAATGGGTCAGATCAATCCAAACGAAGTCGACAATGACGACGACTGGGGAATGGGTCCCAGTGAGGCCCTGCAGAACAAGCGCCGTTCCTTTGTTCCCTTTGGCAGCTCACGCGACGGCAGCAGCCGCAATGGCTCCCCTGGATCGTCAATTAACAATGGCGCTGCCGGCGCAGGTGCTGGTGCTGCTGCAGGTGCTGCCGCCTACAGCGCCGCGCGCGACGGCAACAAGTACGACACAGTACCCATGGTCAACGGAAGCGGGGAGCTCATGCCCGAAAAGATTGCAAGCTGGAAGGCAGAGGATGACCTGAAGAAGCGCAAGAAAAGAATGTGGATAGCCATTGCAATCATCACAGTCATCATGATGGGCGCAATCCTCGGTGGTGTCCTTGGTGCCACCATCAACCGAGGCGGCGGCGGTTCAGGCAACGCAGAGAAGGCGCAACAAGCCGCCAACGACGTTGCCAAAGACAACAAGGACGACCTTGGAAAAGACTCGTCAGAGATCAAGGCCCTCATGAACAACCCCAATCTGCACAAGGTCTTTCCTGGCATGGACTACACGCCTCTCAACACGCAATACCCAGACTGCATCCACGTCCCACCATCGCAGAATAACATTACGCGTGACTTGGCTGTCATGTCGCAGTTGACCAACTCTGTCCGCCTGTACGGTACTGATTGCAACCAGACCCAGATGCTTATCCACGCCATTGAGCGCCTGGAGATTAAGGATTCCATGAAGATTTGGCTCGGAGTCTGGCTCGACAGCAATGATACCACTACCCAGCGACAGATTTCCCAGACCTGGGATATCCTCGATGACTATGGCTGTGACTACTTCAAGGGCATCATTATTGGTAACGAGGTGCTCTTCCGAAAAGACTTGACCGCCGATGAGCTCCTCAGCCACATCAGCGACTTCCGCAAGAACATTACAGACCACAAGTGCCAGCTCCCCGTCGCCATGGCCGATCTTGGCGACAACTGGACCGCCGACATGGCCACCAAGGTCGACATTGTCATGTCCAACGTCCATCCATTCTTCGCCGGTGTTGACGTCAAGGCGGCCGCTGGATGGACCTGGAACTTTTGGCAAACTCACGACGTTGCCCTTACCGCCAGCGAGAACAAGATTCACCAGGTTATTGCAGAAGTCGGTTGGCCATCTGGAGGTGGCACCGGCTGTGGTGGAGCCACGACTTGCACAGACGGATCGGTTGCTGGTATTGACGAAATGAATCAGTTTATGGACGACTGGATCTGCCCCAGTCTGAAGAACGGTACCGAGTATTTCTGGTAAGTTTATTGTTCAAAAAAGCACATGGACGAGAAAAAAAAGCTAACAGCCATCTAGGTTCTCTGCATTCGATGAGCCATGGAAGATCAAGTACAACGAAAAAGGCAAAGAGTGGGAAGACAAATGGGGACTCATGGACGTTAACCGTAATCTCAAGCCTGGCCTCAAGATTCCCGACTGCGGCGGTCAGTCGTTACCGACATCGTACCAGCATTAGACGAGCGAAACGACCGCGTATTCACCATTCCTTCTCACCACGAGTTCTTGCATGATGGCATGGCGTTGGTTGGCGTTTTTTTATTTCTCACCAAGGAAAATACTCCTTTGTGATCTCTGGCATCATCCCTTTTCAGTGGAGGAAGTTTTTTTTACTCTCCTTCCCAAGGCGCGGCATCATATCCATCTCCTTGCCCAACGAAACAGGGCCTTGTATACTTGGAACCGGGAGCACGCGTGTGCCTACCTGGTTTTGTTGTCTTTTTTCTTTCCTTTTTTCCATTCCCGATCCGCGATATCTTGGTCGGTTGGTGGCTTGATTTGCTTGCTCTCATGCCCGCGACCTTATCTGGGCGGACATGTTGAGGGGAAATACCCTCTGTTTTCGGTGGGGTTGGCTGGGCCTGTTTCCTTTTGTTACATGGAATAATGTATCCGAGATTGGAGGCATGGGCGTGGGTCGGGGGGGTTATGGGGGGTTATGGGAGGAAGAGAGGAACATAAAGTCTGGCTTGTATATATACGCACATACGACATCACATGGGATGAAAGAATTTACTCCGGCTGGCTGGAAGCATTTTAATCGAAGCCACGTTGGTTTGCACTGCACTGCGTTGAGTTGAGTGTGTTCGTTGCATGTTTACAGTTTAATGGAATTGTTGAATCGACATAGAGTAATGAGAAATGTCAATGACTTGGAAGATTATTATTTCCCCATTCATGTCACTTTGAATGTTCCCTTCACCTTCTGCATCCGCACCTAACATCTCTCTCCCATTCCAACATCTTTCCTTTTCTCGCTTTCACTCCCACACAACACACTTCCGCACACACCCAACATTCGTTCTATCAATCTTCCAATCCCAAACCTATATTTAGAAACCCCATTCCCACGTCCCACGTCGCAAGTCCCCACGTCCCACCAAACATAACCCCCCTGCTTTTCTTTTTCTTCCCCCCCCCCCCCCCCAATGCTCTGCAGTACCATCGTACCATCAAAAGTGTGCATCCTGCAAGTTCGGCAACACGACTGCGGAACGCGCGTAAGTATATGCAAGGGCCCTTTTTTCCCACGCTGCAGGGGCTTAATGCAGGGCTGTGTCCATATGTGGGGTGGTATGTGTAATATGTGTATCTGCAACATCGTTTTTTTTGTTTTAAAGGCGGGTAAGTAAAAAGAAAACAAAAGGAAGCAAAGTAAAGGAAAAGAGGGCCGCACACGTGAGATAAGTATTCAAGATAAACGACAGTGATAATGTTCGATTTTGGATAATAGAAAAGGAGAATTAACTATTATAGTGGCAAATAACGTTACTTTACAAACGACCTTTTTGTTTCTTCTTCTTCCCTTCTGTCTCTCTCACTCTCTGGTGCGGTAAACAAGAGCAGCGCAGGTCCGAACGGGTAGGTAGGAAAGATTGTAAGAAGACACACTGCCTCCTTTACGACATCTTGGCCATGATTTCGACAATCACCGGGCCGGCAACAATAGTATCATCCGTAGCCGCAGTGTTGCAGTTGGTAAGCACAAGATAGCTCTGTCCGGTGACACCCTCCTTGGGCACCATGACCTCGAATCCACCCTCGACCGCCTTGGCATCGACAAACACGGGTCCAGTGACAGTGATAAACGCCGCATACACGGTTCCCTCAATCTTGTAACCCTTGGTAGCTACCATGATGTCGTCACCGCCATACACACCCATCTTACCCTCGTCCTTGGGCTTCGCGCTCAGCACCGGGAACGCCTTGACGGGGAGCTTGGGGTTGGAGTCTGGGCAGGACTTAATGAACTGCGCCGCGAGCGTGTACACCTCGTTGTAGCCCAGCGGGTTGTCAAAGGGCGCGGGGAACGGCGCTTCGCCGATGCTGTTGCGGATGTACGCTGCGTGCCTGGCCTCTACCGTCAAGATGGAGCCGGCGGCCGTGAGGTACGTCTTGGACATGATGTCGGCGGCCGCACCGAGGTAGGCGCTGACGCCTACGCCCTCGAGCACCGAGGCGGTGGCGAGGAACGAGGCGACGTCCGTGTAGCCGAAGTCGTAAGTGCAGGCTTCGACGGGGGTGGCGCCGGCGGCCTTGAGGCCGGCGGTAAGGAAGGAGACGTGGGCGGCTTCGTCTGCGGCAATGGTCTTTACTCTCTCGTAGGTTTCGGTGGTGAAGTTTGCGGAGGTGAAGTCGGCAGAGGAGTACTTGGCGAGGGCGTCCTTGTAGAAGGTGGCCTCGAGGTGCTCGAGGGTGAGGGCGTAGTTGAGAATTTCGCCGTCTGTTGGGCCATCTGCGCGGCGGGAGATGGGGGAGGCGGTGGTGAGGGCCGCGAGGGCGGCGGCGGTGAAGATGGTGGACTTCATTTTGAGAGGAGTGGAAGAGGTATTAAAGAGACTTGGTAGTAGTCGTAAGTAAAAGTCTGAGTATTAATGTAGGTTCAAGTTGGTGAGAGTGGTGAACTTGATGCCTACTATTTCCTTTCAAGACTACAGTGTCTTCTTATACCTGTTCTCCTTTGATGCTTCGAACTTTACTAGTCCCCGCTACTACCTCCTTCTCGAACCTCCCAATTTCCTGTCATCATCGTCATGATTGTTGGTTGTAGAAAATAATCGCCCCGAGCGGAGTGACCCCCATCCGACGCATCCCTAATCCTAGCGTACGTTTAAATTTCCTGTCATTACTTACCACCAACTTCCCGTCGAACAGATCTACACCGCAATCACCCAGGCGCAATCAATCGTCCGAACAAGGAAACACTCAGCAACTCCAATTTCCCAATCAGGGGCTTGTAAGACCAAAATGGTACTGACGTGCAACAAGCGTGCAGAAACCAAACCATACTCCGCACCATTTGCGGGCTGGGCTCTGTTTCTGGTGTCGTTGTTGTAAGTTTTGTCCCCACATCACGGAATGCTGACCTTCCGAACGCAACAAAAGTGCGCTAAAGCGGGTAAGCTCACCACGCTACAGGGCAGACTACGATCGAACTGGTGGCATCTGGCCAATTAGAAGAGACTGATCTCACTAGGAAGGGGAAAGATCGAGGCTTATTCTGTTTAACCTGGATTTTTTGTGAAGACATCGTGGGGCGCGGGACGTAGAGCGCGTGTGTGCGTTCTAGGAGCGAGATCCGCGGGACGATGGTGGATGCGGGATTTTCCTTTGGTAGAAAGGGAAAAGGATTTGTATGTATCCCGATGGGGATGTCGCAGGGTGTTAGACAGTGAGATGTATGACGAGTGTGGCTTTTTTACTTTATTCATTGCATGTTTGGTTGCCCTTTGGGGAAGACAGCAAGACGGCGGCTGTACTGCAAGACCTCAAATTTCCAACAACCCCCTACTAATACTTACTGCGTATGATAACTCGAGGTGTACATTGTGAACGTACATAGCTAAAGCGACTAAGCAAACTAGCCAAAGGTATATCTTGACAATGTCGTTCGTCCCTGAAGCTACACGCGCATCCCAAACACACCAACTGCACAAGCGCTCGAGCGGCCGAATTCCAGAACCCGCACTATCTTCCCCACAACTCCTCTTTCGCACCTAGCACCAGGAAAAAAAGTGATCGCCAGATAAAAAATCTCCCGTACCAATCATACCTCTCTAGCATAAACCCAAATAAACTAACCCATCTATGTTCCCGTCCCCTCCCCCGACTCATCCACCGCAAAACGCCGTTCGCCCATGCACCGGGAAACCCTCTCTCCGAAAACACCTCAGTCCCCAATTTACACTAGTAGATCGACACACACGTACACATTCGCTCTAGTTTACGTACTTTTAAACCGACGTGTCCAAGATACTTACGATCCATTACCTAAACCGTTACCTGCTCAATCTTTCGGCAACGCTGTTTCCCGGATGGAAGCCGTTTAATCCGGTAGTTGGGAGTTGGCCAGTGATTTGCAAGGGTCGGGGGCGGTAGGGTTTGTGTATACAGGCTAATCAAGTTTGTTTTTTTAGGAGGAGGGAAGAGGGAAGGTAGTCGTGGCAGTAGTGGTGGTGGTAGTTTTGGTGGCGTGGAAGGAAACATGTGCCGGGGCGAGAAGAAAAAGTAGGTGAGGAGGTAACTAGTGTGGAAAGCAAGGGGCGTTAAGTTCAAAGGTCCTGGGGAAACAAAGTTAACTTTACTTTAAAACAAACGCGTTTCAATCGATTAGTTGGCTGGCTGGCCGGGTATTTGTTCTCTTTACTTGGAAAAAGATAGAAAGATATATTATTGACAACTCCGAACCCCCCCTTCCTCCATCTTTCAAACTCTCACAAAAAAATCTAAACCTCACCATACGCAACTATGAGACTCTCAACCTCCTTCGTTTCCCTTGTCTCCCTCTTTCTTACCACTGCGGTAACAGCAACATCCGAGTTCGTCTCTCCCCCTTCCCCCATCCATCCATCCATCCACACAAACTAACACCTTCCTCTTCCACAGTGCCCCCCTCTCAACCCTAACCGTCCACCCCGCCTGCCCGAGCACCACACCCTCAGACGTCATCGTAACCCGCTCCAACGTCCCTGTACCCTCCTGCGCAGCAGGCAACGAGACCAAGCCCCTCATCATCAGCATGGACGGCGACAAGACGGTGACGATGACGGCGGGCGGAGGCGCAATGATGACGCCGATTATGAGTTCGAGTGGGAGTCCACCGGAGTTTACTGGTGCGGCGATGAGGAACAGCGTAGTTGGTGGTGCGGGTGCGATTGTAGCTATGTTGGGTGGAGCGGTGGTTGCTGTTGTTGTTTAAATCTTATCTCTGAATCACAGCAGCTAGGGCGGAGGGGGAGGGAAAGGAGAGCGAGTAGTATGGAAGGAATGAAGAGATGTTATTTTTTCTTTTGGATACTACATAATGTAATGAAGAAGTCGATGGTAATAAAACGCCGGTACGCCACCTATATCGTGTAGAAATCCCAGAAAAAAACCTCCTCTTAATCTTGCTGCATATCCTTTTTTTTTCTTCTTTTCGTGTAAGTTGAATGTATCGCCTCCAAAGTCTAGTCGAAAGATCCCCGCCTCCTAAATATCAGTGTAAACAAAGGCATCCTCATCTCTTCAACAATCCACCCCTTTCGTCCCCCTACAAATAGAAGAAAAATCTGATACAAATCGTAGAAGAAAAAAAACACCCCCCCCAAGATATATGTCACCATCATCCAACACATTGTCCACATTCTTCAACCCCAGTCTAAGAATCAAACACAGCACCATAAGCCGCCCCACCCCACGCCTTCACACCTTCAACAACCTCTCGTGTAACCTTTGGATTACTAACCACCATGACGGTTTCAATCCGCGCTTCCTTCATCAAATACGTAGTCTCGCCCGCGACATCCGGTCTCCCTTGTTTCGAGTCGAAGATCCTCGGCTCCGGATCCACATTGCGAATGATATCCTGGACGAACTGCCAATGAGGCGCATCAGGTTGGTAGACACACCACATGACCTTAATCATGCGTCCTTGTTTCTTCATTTTGGCGATGGCGGGGCTGCGCAGGAGGGATAGCATGGGACCGATGCCTGCGCCGGTGGCGACGAGCAAGAGGGAGTTGAAGAGCGGGGAGAAGGCGAGGAAGTTCATGGCGGCGGGCTTGCGGATCCAGATGTGACTCGGTGGGTTCTGGATCATGGCTTTTGTCCAGTCGCCGGCTTGGGAAATCACAATGTATGCGGATTCGCCGTCGGGGTTGGGGATCGTGGCGAAGGCGTGCCATTCCAGGAGTGGACTCTGCGAGAAGCGCATGGTGGATGTGTAAGGCATGTGTTTAAAGGGGAAGCTGAGCTTGACTTCGCGGTTTGAGACGAGTTCGGTGGTGATGGGTACTCGGCGCATGCGTGTCCAGGGGAGGATGATGATAAAGGTCGTGGCGGCTAGGAGCCATACGGCGGCGTTGGCGTACATGTTTGGATTCTCTGGGCTTTTGCTCGAGACGCCGGCGTGGATCCAAAGGACGATGAGCGCGGTCCAACCCCCAAAGCGGTGCGTGTGTTCGAATGTGTTGTGAAATTTGACGCGGAGCCGTGGGTGAGCCGTAACGCATACGAGAAAGATAGCAAAAAGGAATGAATAACAAGTGATAATGTCGACCCACATGGAAGCTGTGGTAGTTCCAGCGTCTTCGTTGTCGAGGAAGGATATAGTGTTGCGATATACAAAGTACGTATACCACAAGAGCGCCGAGATTGCACAACCGATATGAAATCCGCCGTAATGATGAAGGTCTGAAATCGTCCTCGCACACCACAACGGTAGGTTTGAGGGCATCTTTGCTACAAGGGAAAAGGTCAAGTTAATAAGGTCTTCTTGACGGACAAATACGGCAGCGAAGATGTTGGCGGCGGTAGCGATAAGAGGTGCGGCGAGAGAGAGTCGCTTGTATAAGACAGCGAATACTACAACGTTGATGATGAAGGTTAGCCCGATAAGTACGCGGTAGGCCGAGAGCCAGTGGAGGCTCAAGACTTTGATCCATTGCCGGTGTGTCCATCTCGTGTTTGGTAATGGGACCGCGGAAACACTGTGTGTGCTCACAGTGTTGCCTGACTTGGTACCGGCGTTTTTCTCGACCATTGACGCATAGAACTGTGTCGATGTGGGTTTGAGGCTCTCCTGCGACGAGTTGATTGAAGAGGTTCGAGTGTTGTCAGGGGTATCAAATGGATCTGGACGCTGGTGCTTCTGGATAACGCCTTCATTCGAGTCAACTTGCTCCCCCTTGGGAACACTCGGTGGAGAATGTCCAAGTGACTCTATGGACGAATTGCGTGATTTCATATGTTGAGATTGGCAGGTTTCGGAAGAGTCAGGAGTGATGTGTAGGCTAGGAGAGGTTAAGGGCGGCCTGCATCGGCAACTATTGGACAGTTGAGACGGTGATGCCATTGGGACAGTGAAAGACTAAGAAAGCGGCAAGGAGATAGATTTAGAGTGAAAGAAGACCTTTGGCTGTTGATGAAATGGTTGAACTGCTGTTCACTATCAATGATTCCATGACGATTTTATATCGTCGAGCCCTGTATGCATATTCCTCTATTGGAGAGAGTACCGGTGTCGATGCTCTAAATTTGTTCATACACAATGTTCCTGCAGCCCGTAATCGGGTCTACCATAGATGTCTCAGTGGCTTGGTCGTTCAGCCTATCAGTGGTGACACGCGCTCAGCGTACGATTAAGTCAGCACTACCATGAGCTTCATAGGGGATCGGGGGGCCAAGCTGGCGTGTGTTCGGTTCGAGCCGTGAAGCTGTAGGCGTAGGCGCGCATTCTGCATTGATCTCACTTTTTAGATGAATTCCTAAATAGGATACCACACTTCAACACTCTTGGATGCTTTCTATTGCAATTGGTAGAATGGCTGCATTTGTTATTATTATCATGCCCCTGGGGCCAAGAATCCAACTGAAATAGACTCTCATGTCAGACGTGTAGATAACATGCAATGCAGAGTATAGTAGCATTCATGTAGTCGCATCTAGACAAGCATAGTACCGTATTTGTCGCTTTAGGCGAATGCACTAGAGCACGGACGCCATTGACCTCAGTGGCTTAGCAGATTTGGTGAGTGGTAAGTGAACGTGGCAGGGCCGATGCCAAGACTTTAGATCTGGTATCTCAAACACGAGCACGAGGTGGCGGCGATGGAACGACGGGGCTTGTCAAGTAAGGGCTGTGTGACAAAACAGCCTCAGAGTCATCGGGCTGGCTTAGGCCAAAATAGGTTTTTGGTCTGTGCACGTGGTTGACATAGTCGACGTACAATGTGTAGATAGAGAGCTGGATATGAATGTAACCTTGAACGAAAATCGGATAGAAAGCAAGTGCAGCAAGATCAGAGACCGTTGAGAAACGCCAGTAATTCTTGCACAACTTTCTCTGGCTGCTCTTGCTGCGGCCAGTGGCCTGCGCCTTTGATGAAATGATTTCCTCGGAAGTCAGAACAAGAATCTGGATAGGACTCAATGGCCCCGGGTTGCTGATAGTTCCCCCAGTCATTTGCACCTGAGATGAATGTGCTCGGACACTCAATCTTCTTGCCTGCAAAAAGCTCTAGATCCTTCATACGATCCGGATCAGTGGTTACACGGTAGTAGTTGAGGCCACCCTGGAAACCTGTTCGAGACCACTCTTCCACGTAGACTTCAAGGTCCCGGTCGGACATCCATGACTTGGTCGCCGACATGTCTTGGCCAGCCGTCATGTTAGCAATGGTTTCGGGCATGGATAGGCGTAGCGGCATAATGTAGTAGAAAGGTAATTTTGCCAGCTCTTGGGCCGTCCAGCTCTCCAGGGGGTAAGGTTCATTCTGTTTCCAGTCGGCTGATTTGACATGAATGTATCCTCTTAGAAACTCATGCAAACCTTGGGCAGGGTTTGCCCAGTCTCGTGCTGCTACATCAGTGCTGTTGTACCACTTGTAGTGCTTTCTTGGCTCAGCTAGGCTCGCCAGCTCAGCATGGATATCAAGTGGCGGTGCAGAGGCGTCCATTCGGCGCTCAGCTCGAGCTGTGTTGAACGGAAGGGGCGCAGGAGCCTTGAATGGGTGGCTCATCATTACAACGCTCTTGAAAAAATCTGGGCGCATCAAAGCGCACATGCTAGCAGTCACAGCCCCGAAATCATGGCCGACGATGCAGTTGACTTGGCGATGGCCCAAGGCGTTAACCAGGGTAACAACATCGCGGACGACGTTAGTCATAGCAAATTGAGACAAGTTGGTATTGATGAATGATGAATTGTCCCAGCCAGTTGTCCTTCCGTAGCCTCGCTGGTCGAATGCGACGACGTGGTAGCCAGCGTCTGCTAAAGGCACCATTATCTTTCTCCAGGAGAAGGCGAGTTCGGGAAAGCCGTGGCAGAGAACGATGAGAGGCTTATGTTGATTTGGCGTGTAGCCAGCTTCGATTACGTGAAAGGTGAGTCCGTTGGATGGGCAGTAAACATAGTTTTCGGTGATGCCGTCTGGCAGTGGCAGAGGTGGCAGCTGTGAAGCTGACATGTTGATGGCTTGTCACGTGGGAGTGAATCAAAAGTAAGGATGAAGCGATAAACAATTGGTGCTTAGCGAAGGTGATTATCAGGTACAGAAACATACGATTCGAGAAGATAGTGTAGAGCTAAAAGTGAGTCTGCGATGCGGGGAAGACGTGCGAAGGAGCTGCCAAGCTGGGTAATACTAGTGGCCCACTTGGAGGAGTGCTACTTAGTAAGTTGTACGAGGCTGACACATGCTAAATTTACATGCCTATCAATTATCTCCTACAACGATAACCAATCTTACATGGGCAAGAGGTTACTTTTGATGCAACCATAGACTCGATCTATCTACACCTGGTTTCACCTGTTGTAGTCCCCAATTTTGTAGGGCTTAACCTCTTCAGGAAAGAGCTGGCCCTTCTACAAACTAAACAAAGAACTTTCCGACCGTTGTTTACCCTTTTCCACCACAGCCTCGATGAACTCCCTTGGTCCTCGATGAGCAACAAGCTCCGCACTCGTTTTGAGATAATGCTCTGCGAAGACATCCCAAAGTTTCTTATCTTTGTCGTCGGTGACATTGGGGCGCGGGTAATAGGGGTCATTGAACCAGAAGCCCTCGACCAGTTTCTTCATTGCTTCCTTGCATCCCGGCTCGCCATCCCCATGGTACTCAAAACGCTGGCACTGGTTAAAGTCCAGTAGCCACATTGATGTCTGTTCATTTCTGAGATTGGTCATATGCAGTCTCCCTGCTGTATCCTTTGTAGCTGCACGTACTTCCTGTTCGCTTGGATAACTATTACCGACAAGATGGCCGCCTCCAAGAACGAATTCTACGTCGTTTGCGTCGAAGCCAAATTTCTAGTGGAGGGAGGCCAAAGTCTGCGCCATGGTGACAACGTAGGGTTCTGGACGTAACCCGAGTCGTTCGAGCTCGTTGACGTGAAGTGGAAAGTTACGAAGCCGGATGTTTCCGGCTTCCCTATGCGACGTGCAGCTGCGGCGACCTAGATACAGTCTAACCAAGCAATCCTTATTCTCATTTCTCTCGAGAAAATCAGGTTTGATTGTTTTGATAGCTTCGGGGCATAATAAGTCTACAATGTCTTCGCGGAAGCAGAGAGGCACGGACAAGATGCGCTTTGAAATGAGACCGTAGTTTGGAATCGACGCAATTCCTTTGGGGAAGCAAGAAGCCGTCGCGGACCAGATTGTATTCTCGCGCATGATCCATGCTTCAGGCCAAGGGATAGAGATGTTTACGGAGCTGAGAGGGGCCAGAGTGCTGTATACTGAGTAGTGAATCTGGTAGTCGGTAAAAAGCTCATCTTCTTTAGAAGTAAAATTGGGTATCTTGATGACGCAGTCGGTGTCATTCAAAGCAAGCACCGTCCCACACTGTCCCCTACCGACTTCGATGTGGTTGGCTCTGGCAGGAGGTGTGCTGAGAGTGTTTCTGCACCAATTCAACATGTCTTGTAGTAGATTGGTGAAGTATATAGTTGAGAAAGTTAGAAGAGAAACGGCTCGTCACCTATGTGTGAAAATTTGTAGTAGATGAGAAGTGGCTGCCTAACTGTTTTGCAGGAAAGACCACTGTATCGATAGATGATACCATGGTCCACCAATCCAAGATACCTCAGGAACAACAAAAACTGGAGTTGTATTGCTATCGACTAACTGGCTTGATATCAAGCCGGCTGATCGCAGCATAGCATGGCGAAACAGTGTTGTTATGTCGAGTAACATCCAAATATAGCGTTTTCTCTTGTTGCATCGCCCTCGGCCAACATAACCCCTAGCACATGAGGTTGTTTAGCAACAAATGGCAATCCCCTTCAACGTTGGTGTTCTGTTTCGTGCTTGCTGTCGTCTCTTTTTAATTGAGAAACTTCTCCAGTTCATGCGTTCAGGGCCTGAGGCAGCAAAGCGGAGGGCTGACCCCTGTTCAGCCTTGTGGGCTAGGTGGATGAGTGGTGCTTACTTACACACAATGTTTTGACAACATGGCAGTATCCTCGACACGACCCCTTCTACGCCCCTTGCCATGTTTCCAGTAGGCCACTAGTAAAGGCTCTATCGTGGTCCAAGTGGGTCTCTGGCATGGTGTTGCTGTGTCGATGGGCCGTTAGTGCAAATCAGGGACCGGCTGGCCCTGGGCCGGGCAAAGGACGTGACGTCTGTGGCTGGAGCAGACATCTAGACTGAGCGAGTCGGCGTCGTGTTGTGCGGTGGCCTGGGCTGCGCGATGTGACGAACAGGTGTATGAATATTATTGCTCCGTGACGACACCCCGTCCAAGCTTCTGCCCTTGTCCTCGACGGCGTACCATAAGGCGATCCTCTTGCTCTCGTGGACGACTCCACTTGATCCAAATAGACGGCGTCTTCTTCCTATCCTCGCCGGTCCGCAGCCCATCCATCTCACTCCTCGCCCTGCCGCCCGCCACGTCTGCGCTGTCCCTCCCTTGGTTTTCCTTTCTTTTGTTATACTGTAGGCTTGATACAATTGGCCTTGCACGTTCCTTGATCCAGTGCCGCCGGGTTCCGTGTCTACTACTAGACGTGACATCATCTAAGCGGCCCCTGCTGCTGCACCTCAACTTCGGCCCCAGACCGAGACGACACCACGCCCATAGACGCCGAGATAATGCAGATCCACCCACGACTGCTGTAATTCCTAATCCAGCCCGCCCATCATGTTTGGCAAGCGACGAAGAGCAGCCTCGAGTCCGGTAGGTTGTGTCTTTTTCCCTGGCTGTGGATGCGCGCGCGCAGACGTCGTGTCGCGCAAACACGGCCATGTATATGGTGATGCGGTGCCTGCTAACACATGCTCTTCCCTATGCAGGCCCAGCGAGCGCCTCCTCCCAGCGCCTCCGCCTCGCTCGCCGCCTCCAAAGCCTTTATCAAGAGCGCCGAATCCAATGGCGCCCTCTCGTCGGCCGCCGCCGCAGCAGCCCTGCGCACCCACTCGCCAACACCGACGTCCGTAGCAGACACCGTCACCAAGCGCATGGCCCGACGCGGCTCGCTCTCATCCAACGGCAGCTACTCGAGAGAGCCGTCCGGTTCCCTGCATCGGCAGTCGAGTTCAGGGTCCATGACGGAGCGCTCGTTCCGTGCGCCATCGCCGGGCAGAGGAAGCCCAGCTGAAACCAATGCGCCGCCTGTTCCGCCTGTGCCCGCAAACATACAGCACCATGACGGTGGCATGCGCCGCCGCGCATCGAGTGTCGAGCCCCTCTATCGCGGAGCATCGCCAGGCCCCAGGGGCGGAGGCAGAGGTGTGAGCTTAGACAGGGGCGCTAGTACTCCTCGACGAGCGCCCCAACGTCCCGCCAATCCTCTTACCAATGTGTCAGAGGAAGAAGACACTGCCCGGTCTATAAACTTCTCCCGCCCCATGTCCCCCGGCGCAGTAGGCACCAAGCCAAGCCCACCACAAACCACCGCTTCGTCTGGATGGTTTGGCGGGCCTGTTGTCAACCAAGATGCCCTTCAGCGCATGGCATCAACCTCACGGCCAAAGACATCTAGCGGTGTCTCTAGCCACCATGTCCAGAATGCCCAGAGATCTGTACAAAACGCAGCCGAGCGCCCAGTCAGCTCACATCGCATCTCGCATGGTGTCGAAGGCTCTCGGCTGTCGAGCGGCAGTATGCGTGTGAAGCCATCCGGAACAGCTGTACAAAAGCAAACATATCCGTCAAGACAGGCCCCACGACCCGTTGATCCGAACTCGCCAGATGCCGTCTATGACCCATCATCCCGCACTTTTATCCACAAGCAGGACGCCATGGCCCGTCATAGGGAGATTCACGAAATGCCCGAGCCCGCGCCCCAACCTGGATCACAGCCTGTAGAAACTTTTCATTCTGTCCATATACCAGAGAACCAAATGGGTCGTGGATCGCCCAGCCCTATCCGTCACTACGTTCGACAAGAACCACCACCGCCTCAGCGAAGAGAGGAACCGGGAGCGGCTGTTCAACGGCACTCTGATGACTTCAACGATGCTGATATGCAACCTCCCGAGCAAGCAAACACTAGTCGCAGACTTGAAGATTCCGGCTATGGAACAATAGTCGGGTACGATGACGACGCGGCTTCGTCCACTGTCGCCCAGAACCAGGACAACCCCTACCCCCGACTATCCACCCCGGTAAACTCTAGGCCCGCAAGTACTTATGATAGTCAAGACCGCGAACGCGCCGGGCGTAATGAAAACTCGCCGTTAAGCCCACCGCGCACCGCTCATTTCGCGCCCTTGGCTACCGAACTTACTGGGCTGAAGCACGAACCGCTGCCCCGATCAGTATCCCCTGCAAAATCCGCACTAAAAGCGTCCCCCTCAGTCTCGCGTCGCGGCGAGTCTCCGCTCCGCTCCAACGGACTTTTACACACTAGGGGTGCTTCAAGTGAAGCATCGGACACTGCCTCGGAGGAGGGAGGAAGGCGCAAGAATAAGAAGAACGTTCGTGTCAGCTTTGAGGAAGATGTGATGGCCCCTAGTACCTCTGCCCAGGCCCACCCTGAGCCGCCTGTTTACGGAGGCCTTGGAGCATCCAGGTGGAGTCCAATAGCTGAAAAGGACGATGAGTTTGAAGACCTTAAGAAGCCACGACCTGCTCTGCCTCTTTTCGGCAGTATCCGAGACAAGGAGCGACGTCACAGGGAGGAAGTGCCTGAAAAGGTAACTGAGACCGTCTCCACGAGTCCTGTCGGTGATCAATCTCGGGTTTCAAGCGACATTGCGCTTGGCAACATCGTTTCCGACGACCATGCTCGAAAGCAGAGAGAATCATCTAATCCTCTTCCACCTGAGGTTACTTCTGTCGAAGGCAGTGGTTACGTGTCAGACTCTAGCGATTACTCGGACAAGCACGGGATCACAGAGCACAAGGAGATGTCTCAGCAACCACCAACTCCGGAGCCAAAGTCTCTGTCTATTCCGCATGAAGAAGTACCATTGACGACAATTACAGTGGCGGAACAAAACGCCCATGTTCCCGATATTGCATTCCAGCCTGCAACCCCCAGCCCGTTCGAGAAGCCAGAACCAAATTTCCCAAGCATAACCATTCCTGAAGGATGGGACGAAGATGCCACTGGCGCTAGGAGCCAAACCCCCAAACCAGCTATATCTACATCAGCGCCCTCCACGAACACTACGGAGCCGACAGGCCAGGTGCCACGATCCAAGTCACACGAAGACGAAACCACAGACGATGAAAGCAGTATATATAGCGATGCTTATGAGGATTTGTCTGACGGAGGCGGTTTTGCTAGTATCGATGCTCTTATGGACAAGCCAATCAACCCTCCGTCATCTGGACTGATGCACTCAAAGTATGCGGATCAAGATGCAATGGAAGGACCTGCCCCAAAGTCTGGGCAGCAGACTTCTGCAGAGGATAGTGACGACTCACAGGCAACTCCGACACAGGACTGGACCCCTGCTCAGTTGCATTGGAGTGGTTTGAATGCATCTTTCAAACAAGCAGAGAAGGTTGAGACGTCTGTCGAGCAAATGCCACCTCCTCGGAAAGTCATTGATCAACCCACCCAACGTTCAACTTTGCAGGACCGCCCCGTATCAGTAGCTTCGCCGTCGCCGTCGAGCAAGCCTCTAAAGTCGGCCTTGAAAAAGAGCCCAGCCCAGGAAACAACTCGACCAGCAGCCGAACCCCGAAACAGGATGACGCAGACTCCTGCGCCAAGGGAAAACCGTCCAGAGGTGCACATGAGAAGAACCATGCGTGGTGGCTCAAATACAGATGCGCCAGCTGAACCCCGAATAGGATCTACAATGCGTTCAACCATGAGGGGAGGCCCAGAAAACCCTCCTAGAGCACAGCCACAGATGCGACAGAGTATGCGGTCAGAGGATACTACACCACCAAGGGCCAACATCAGCCTAGCTGCATCTCGCCATAGCATGACACCGGTGGAAACCAAGCCACGAGGTGCACTGCAAAAGAAAAATATCCCATCTCCAGTTGCTCCCAAGGCAAGGCCACAGAGTATGCCCGCTGCAAAGCCAAAGCCTGCGCCAGTAGCTACATATGACAGCGACTCTGATGCTTCTGTCAGCAGCTTCCAGCGAACCAGAAGCCGAGGATCCCGTCAACAGGGTGGACGGTACACAATGCGTGGCTCCATGAGGCAAAACCCTACACCGTCCCTGCGTGCCAGTGCACCAGCTCCAAGACAGGTTCGCGCCATCTCACCACCAGAGTCTCCATCGCCTGCCATGCGAAAGTCTATGCGGTCCTCTTCACCGACCCCGGACCCAGTCAAGTCATCGAGGTTCAGCATCCGATCATTGTCACCAATGGGAAGGTTCCGCAAGGGACCTGATGTCCGTCCGTCCTCACCTATACAGGAAAAGCCGATGCCTTCGTTCGCCAAGCAGCCTAAGCCAGCCAAACAAACGCCTCAACCAGTCAAAGCGCCCAAAGCGGTCAAGGTGCCATTCAAAAGTCGCTTCGCTGATTCGAGTGATGAAGATGAAGATGACAGGCCCAGGCTATTTCAAAGTCGATTTGAAGATTCGGACGACGAGCCGATGGACTACGAGCTGCCTCCTGGCTTAACTCCAGTCCGAGGTATTCCTAGAAAACCTGGCGAAGAGGATGGGGACTCTACGGATTTAGAAGAAGAGGTGGATGAGGAGATTCCCGAGGACGTTTCCAAGCCTGTTCCGCAAACGAATGGAACCAACGGCCATGTTAATGGGCAGGGTGCAGCGCTAGCCACTGGCTCGCTCCGCGATAGCAAACATGCTACTTTACCCACATTTGAGTCCGGCAAGAACAAGAAGAAGCGTGGTTTCTTTGGCCTAGGAAAAAAGAAGACGCCTCAGACCGAGCCTGTCCCTGCCCAACCCGAGCCAGTGCAGCCCGTCTCTTCGCACGGTGACATTCCCATGCCCCCTGCGCAACGCAACCGCGACAAGGGCGCTCCCATGACCCCGATTGACGAGGATAAGGAGTTCGCTGAGCCAGCCCCTACCTCTCCCAAGCGGTCGCCCAAGCTCCAACGACGATCAACCCCGGACTGGCCTCTGCCTCCTCCACCACCCATTGGAACTGATGATCGGCCAATGAGCTCAGACGGCGTCGCGCCTCGTAGACCGCGTTTCGCCTCGCGACAGCCCAGTGCTGTGTCGAATGTCTCTGCGCCTGTGGTCGGTGCACAGAGACATTCGGTCGCGTATGGCCGAGGTGGGAAGAAGAAGAAGTTTCAGGGTCTGAGACGTGTTTTTGGACTCAATGATTGAAGTGAAAGTGTTGGGCAACCTTTTAGTCCGCGCGTTCAAGGCATGGATCCTCTTTTTCTTTCTTTTCTTATCATGTTATGTGCTATCTATGAACTGCGAAACGTGTTTGCTTATTTATCTTCGATTCTCTTGTCTTGTTTTTTTTTGCTCAAGTTATTATTTTCTGCGTTTTTTGAAAGCAGGACTTATGAAGGAAGCAGAGGGAGGCATTAGATTTTTTTTCTTTTCCTGCTTCTTCTTTCTTCTCTTTCTTTTGGGGGCTACAATGGGAACAATGATACCAGGTTTCTTTTTTTTTCTCTTTCTTTCGTTATATCCCCACGGTAGCGTGTACTGCTGTTGTTTTCGAGGGTGGAAGTGAATGAAGGAGAGAGTTGATTGACTGGCAGCGGGGAGAAGAAGATGAGAAATGTAGGATAATTTGTAATGCACATGACAGGGGGGGGACAAAGAACATACAATGTCTAGGAACATAGCACTCTTTACTTTCACGTCTACACATATCTCGCCTTGCACTTTTTTCTTGCAAATATCTTGATGTGGACTTGTCTCGAATCCCGTCCAATCCACCCCCCTATCAATCAAACATACCCAACCCCTTCATCTCTCTAATACTTGGGCTTAAACATCAACGTCCCCATCTGCGCCCCAATATCCGCCTCAACCCCCCACAGCTTATACAACCACCTCATAATCACCCCAAAGCTCTCGGGCTCCCCCATATGCTTGACCCCACTCACAAACCTGACCTCCTTGGGCTCCCCCCTCTGCAGCGCAAGATAATAATCATCAATGGGGAAAATCTCATCCTCGGTGCCATTCACCAGCAACAACCTCGCACACTGCTTCGCATCCAGCGTGCCATCCTTGAGCAGGGAGAACTTCTCGCTCGCTTCCTCTTTGAAGCGGGGCACATCGGTGCCGTACCCGAACTTGTGAGCGAGTGTATCTGCGAGATCGAAGGGGTACTCGAGATGATTTACCCTGTCGAGCCATGCCCTGTCGAACATGTGGTGGCATCCGCCGCCGAGGGCGACGACGCCGGCGAGGCGGGCGGCGTGCGTGTGTGCGACGCGTATGGCGTAGTAGCCGCCGGTGCTGAATGCCCAGATGGCAGTCTTTGCGGCGTCGAGCGACGACTGCTGGGATACCCAGTCGAGCAGGGAGGAGTAGAGGCGGTCGGGCGAGGTGGGGTCCGAGGCGTCTGCGGGACAGTCGCCTGTGCCTGGGATTTCGAGCACCAGGGAAGCGATTCCGTTGCGCCGGAAGCCTTCCATCCAGACGGCGAGTTCGGTGCGGTAGCCGTCTAGGCCTGTGAAGATGATAAGGAGTGGGGCGGGGGAGGTAGGGGAGGCGGTGGAGGGAGCGAGGTGGTAGATGGGGATGTGGGCGCCATCTGATTCATTGCGGTGCGTGTGGGGGATGAGGATTTCGTGAACGGGATGCTCGCGCATGGAGAGGCCTTTGAGGCAGACTTCTTTTCCTTTGGCCCAGGCTTCGCGTTGGACGGGGCTGCGTGGGGCGGGGAAGCGTGCGATGCGGTAGACGGCGCTGGAGCGGAGGTAGTATTCTGAGGCCTTTTCTGTCTCGCCGTTTGCTTCGGCAGTGCGGGCGATGGAGGCGAGGTGTTCGGCTTGGGGAAAGAATGTACGCGCGTAGGCGTCCCAGTCGTAGGGCTCACGCATGTTGTTCTTGACCATTTCGGCGACGATGGGCTCGAAGTCGGAGGCGGTGCCGAACATGAAGGGGTATACGCCCATTTCAGCCTGTATTGAAGTCAGTCTTTGATAACTGAGTGTGTAGATGATTATTGAAGGGACATTTTGCGATACCTACCGGCTTCTTCCATTTCGTCTCCCATAGCTGTTCAAACGACTCGTGGTGTTTGGCTGGTATGTCCAATTTATCCTCAATGAAGAACTTTCCTCCTGGTGCCGCCATTTTCGGTCTGAAAAGCTATCTTTTTCCTATACTTTTGCTGGGGTTTTCTTTGTATTCTGCTAAGAGCTACTCGTAGCAAGCAGTCTCATACAACTTGTATCTACACTCAGTCATATAACATAAAATGTTCTGAGCACTTGGATTTCAATCGTAGGGGTAAACTTATCATGAGAGTAAAAAAGGAAAAGCAGCACTGCCATCACTTCTTTATACCCAATTGCCTCTTTTGGCATTGCGAATTCCTTCTTACCTGGTACTCCAACGGGGTTTGCCGATGCAGTGATTATCGTGTGTCGTTCGGCTCATGGAGGCGCGGGCCGCCCCTCTTTCGGGCGGTTGGAGATTTTAGTTGCGGGCGGGGAGCCGACTAAGTATCGGCCGAAAGCATCCACCTCGAACCCTTGAAAACCGGTCTGACGGACGCGAATTTATTACAATCACCTTTCGGCACATATACGGAGGCAAGTTCCTCTCGATATAGTTAGCTCTCGATGACGAAGTGAGCATCATCGGATAACAGGTAGGCTGCGGGATACAGACAGGCGTAGTAAACAATCCGCTACAATTTCAAAGACAGTCACAATCGGAAGACGCATAGCATATATCTTTGTTGGATTTCATTCATATTCTCATACCCAATCGTGTAGGCTTAGATTGCCCCTGTCGTTGTCATTTTCTTACCCACCCAATGCGCCGAAATGCTGTGCAAATTATTTGTGTGCTGCACACTGTTAGTACAAACACTGACTTGGCACAATGTTCTACTTACGAATTCCCTCAACTGGCTTGCCAGTACCATCAGCAACCTCGGCTGCAGTCTTCTTCTCCTCAACAATGTCCTTCATGAATGGGAAGGTAAGCACCTCCTTGATGGAGTAGTGGTCTGTCAAGAACATGACCAAACGGTCAATACCCATACCCCATCCACCGGTAGGGGGTAGACCGTACTCAAGCGCCTGGCAGAAGGTCTCATCAATGAGCTGTGCTTCGTCGTCACCTGCTGCCTTCTGGTTTGCTTGTTCGGCCTGTAAATTTGTTAGTACTTGTGCACCTGAAAGCGTCTCTTGATAATTATTTGGCATATCCTTTTCTTTACCAATCCCGAAGAAAATTATCATAAACTTACAAAGCGTTGGCGCTGGACTTCTGACATGTTCAACTCGGTGTAGGCGTTCGCAATCTCCTTCTTGCAGACAAAGGCCTCGAAACGCTCGCAAAGACCGGGGATGTCTCGGTGAGTCTTGGCAAGGGGTGACATGACTTCAGGGTGACCAACGATGAAGGTTGGGTTCACGGCAGTCTCCTCAATGAACTCGCCAACCAACTTATCGATCATTCTTGAGTTGGTACGAGGTTCCGAGCACTCGACGTTGACCTTCTTGAGTACCTTCTTGAGGAACTCGTTCGTCTCAGCAGTGTGGAGTTCAGTCGCCGGTGGGAACTTTTCACCAGTAGCCTCCTCAAGAGCAGGAATCATATTGACTCGCCTCCATGGCCTTGCCCAGTTGACATTGTAGACTTCGCCACTCTGGGTGTGGTAGACGGTTTCGTAGCTGCCAGTAACCTCCTTGACCATCTCGCTGACCAGCTCCTCGGTCATGTCCATGAGATCATGGTAGTCGGCGTATGCCATATAGAATTCGCAGGTGGTGAATTCGGGGTTGTGAGTAAGGTCGATACCCTCGTTCCTGAACTGACGACCAATTTCGTATACTCTCTCAAGACCTCCAACAACCAACTCCTTGAGGTACAATTCGGGTGCAATGCGCATGTACAGCTCCATGTCGAGTTCATTGTGGTATGTCTTGAAGGGCCGCGCTGTTGCGCCTCCGGCAATCTTGTTCATCATGGGTGTCTGCACTTCCAAGAAGTCGCGCTCATCGAGATATCTGCGAACGGCCTTGACGATCTTGGTGCGTGCAATGAAGGTGTTACGCGTCGAATCGTTCATGATGAGATCGAGGTATCGGTTGCGGTGGCGTTGTTCCTGGTCCTTGTAGCCACTGTCATAAGGTCAGCAACTCTTTTTTTTTCAGGCCATGGGTGATTCTTACAAGTGCTCTGTTGGCAACATCCTGAGACAGGGTGTGAGGAGGATGACTTCGCGCGCAAAGATACTCAGTTCACCCTCGCCACCCTTCTTGGGGCTTGTTCGGCCAGGGAAACCAATAACACCGATAATGTCTCCGCGCTGAATGTTCTCATGCTGCTTCTCAAAGGGCACATCGGCCTTGGACTCTTGCAATTGGCACATGACCTGAATGGTAACACCCTCTGCCTTGCCTGTAAATAGTTAGATGTGTACGCAGCTTCTTGTCTCATATACGTACAAACGTAGAAGTGAAGTGCGCTGGAAGCCGATCGCTTGGTCATGACACGGAGACCCATGCGAATCTCCTTTTCGGGCTCTGTCTCACCCTTCTTAAGATGTGAGTAGTCGCGCACATAGTCGGCGATCCTGTAGTTGGTGTGGAACTTGTGTGGGTAAGGATTGGGGTCCTGGGAGGCTGTGAGGGCGGCAATCTTCTTGGACCGAATTTCAAAGTATTGCTGAAATTTATTAGCAGCACGTCGCATCAATATGACAGGCCAGAGGGTGTACATTTGGGTTCAATTCCTCAATGTCGTCCTTCTTCTCCTTCTTAGGCCGGGCTGGTAGTGACGCTTCCTTCTCCTTCTTCTTCTCGTCCTTTTCGCGCTGCTTCTGGCGACGCTTGAGTTCACTCTTGGAGATTTTCTCGCCAGTGACGGGATCGGTGTGCAAATCCTTGGTCTCGGCAGCCGGAGGTTGGGTTGCGGGTTGTTCGTCAGCCATTGTTGCAATTGTTCGTAAGAGACGACTTGCTCGTGTGGGCGGCGCGTCGAGATATATGCCCCGCCAAACTTTTTGACTCACCCCGCCATTGACTGGCTGCGTCGGGAACAAAGTTTTTCCATCCGGCCCAAAGCGGCATCAAACATCCATGCAGCGTCAACCACGGATAGACTTTACGGTATTACTCACATGTCTAGTGCCTTAATTCTTCCAACCCGTAATATCCTCGCTTATCCTAATCTGCATAATACCAAAGTCGTAAAATATCACAGTCAATGCAACACGTGCGAGTTACCAAGGCAATGACAGATTGGCATGCGAGGCTCGGTCTGTAATAGTGCATGGGAAATGATCAAATTTGTTTCAACGAAAAGCGACTGCCATTGGGGAAAAAAGTAAAGGGGACCGTCTTTGGGCAATGCATTGCGCAAGACACACAGGGAGGGCCGCAGTCTGTCAGAGACAGTGCCCAAGAACCACTTGGACCCCGAGGTAAAGTTGGTGCCAGATTCAACCGACCCTTGAAAGCAGCCATGATCTTCGAGATCCATGTTCGCTGCCGTCACACCCAAGGGAAACCCCCGCATAGGTATCATGGAGAATACGAAGACAAACAGCATGGGGCGTGTGGTGCGCAAGACGAGGCCTTGGCGGCGGTATGGCGACTGGGGACCGACCATACCTGGACCCTGTAAATCATTTGGCAGCCCTGGCAAAGACCTCGTGGCCTCGTCAGCTTGAAAAGCATGTGCATTTGGGCGTCAACCCTATTGGGACTCTGGCCCGAGGTGCTATGTTATCGGAGCGGGGGCATGGTACTCGATGTCTTCATAGTTCTTTTGAAGCCCAACGACACGTTAGCATATTGTTACCACGGCAATCCGGGGTGGGCGACAAGCGTCGTGGAGAGAATCAATGTGTTTGGGTGTTAGTTTGCAACGTTTGCTGAGACAATGCCATTTTTAGGTTGTGGCTCGACTGATAGCCGCTGTGAGTGCGGCTAGGGCTGGTGCGATGGCTCTGAGACGTGACAGGCGTCAGATGGAAGCAGTGGGGGTAGCACAGCCAGGAGTCGCAAAAGCACCATCTTGAGGGCCGTGCTTGACATGTCAAACCGTCGCAGGAATCGAGTGCGCCGTTTACTCAGCAGGGCATGGTTGCTTGTTGGTGAGGCACTCAAGTGAGGCGCACCGGCTGGGTTCGGTGGCTGCATGCGGACCAAAATTGAGTGGATATGCAGCGATCAGCAGGCGGTCGAGGCTAAGGCAGGTACGACGATGGAAGTGCGCAACGAGGGCGTTCCTGCGTTTGCTCGTTGGAGCTACAGGCGAGTGGAGACGACATGACGGCGGCCGCAGATGCGGTCGCCCGTGAAGTATTCTCGGATGCCTAAGGGATTGTTTTTTTGTTGTGACGCATGGCTGTTGATGGTAGAGTAGGAGTATAGTGTCATGATGTTTGTTCTGGATGCCATCGTCATGTGCTTGATCTATGAGCGTCATAGCCGCGCTTTCGCGCGTTTAGTGTCGATGGCCCTGTGAATGCATCTAGCACGTGGGCTATTGAACAGCATGCGGGCCGCAAGTTTGGGACCAATGAGCAGGTATGATGCTATTGCTAGCGTGTGTCAGACAAAGGGCTTGCCCATCGAGACCATGTACTATACCTACGTAGTATATGTGGATACGTAGTGGTATGTCTTTGTGTCTGTGAAGGGGGGGGGGAACAGTAAGTCGACGTCATGTACATAGAGTCGGGCATCTTGAATAGCACGTGGCCGATGGCTGCAGGGCAAACATGACGCGGACGAACCTCGATTCCAAAGCCGACGCGCAATGACGACCACGGTTTGGGCACCAGTGAATAGCAGAACATGGTAAGACCATGGAACAGAATCGAAACAAGGCGACGCGAGGGACGGAACAGTCGGCGCCATGTCGAGACGAAACACAACGAAGACCCTTTTTTTTTCTTTGAGGCTCACCAGGGATGATCGTGGAGGATGGGCATATCAAGGCATTATTGAAGGCGACAGGGCGGGCATATTGGTGGACAGGTGGAGTATTGGTGGACCAGGAAAGGCTGTGTAGTCGTGGGAATAAGCAGTGGTGGCGCCAACGGGCATGGCAAAGTTGGGAGTAAGTAGGATGCTGGGCTGGGAAGCGAGACATGCACATGGGCCGTG